CGTTTGTACTACCCTCCTTCACAACTGACTATTGCTTTTCGCCAGTGCCTACAGGTCTATTCGTACATGCATCAACTTTTTCCTAAACTTTTCTTCCTTTTGTCCTTTTTGTACTCCGTTTGTACTACCTTAACCCCACTCGAACGATTGCTGCCCCTTTTCATTTCGCTCGATACGGTCGTTAGCATAGATTCTGTCCAGCGCTGACCTTCATGTTTCACGTTCCACTGCACAAATCGCGTCCATCTCTCTGATTATGAACTACTTTGCTTTCTGGAATATTTCTTTGATAAATGTTTATTTTAAATTTTGAAATAGCTCGAAACAGTTCCCCAAGAGACGCTTACTGTTTGGGTGAGTGTAGGGGACCACTGACTCCTCTCTCCCCTCCCACAAGCCGCACCCACCAGGTAAATCAATAACAAAAATACGTTTCAGTCACAGGACACATGAAAAGAACGCGCCCGGTAGCCATTCCCTCACGCAAGACGTTGTTCACGCCCCGCCCACTCCTTTCAGTGATTCCTAGTTAGATGCCCAGTTACGCCCTAGAAGGGCCAAGTTGGTGGACTTTGCTAGTTGCCTTGCTGCACATCGCAAGCCATATGAGACACCACTGGTTACTTCTGATCATCAAAAATAGGTACTGATTTACATGGTACATAATTTTCCTTGGAAAGTTTACAAGAAACTCGTCCATTTTAGCTTTCGACTACCATCACGAATGACCACACTTAGACAGGTTATTGATTTCTTTGATAAAATTCTAAAAATCGATGAGATCAACTCACCCACTACAGTTTCTTTCCCCACTTTTTCTCTTGCTATCAAACCACTCCTTTCTAATAAGCTCATAAATTTATCAGATTTACTTTGGAGTATCACAGCTCTACCTTAAGTTTCGCAGATGACACTGCGTTTTAATAAGTAAATAAGTAAGAATAGCTCAAAAGGAAGGGATCAGTGCTATTATTAGTTGTGCTGCTGTTGCTGAAGTGTGTTGCTATTGCAGCTGCTGTAAGAAACGGCGAAAAGCAATTAACAATTGATCATCGTGTTGTCGGATGATTCTGACCTGATTCTGTTCGCTTACGATTTCATCATTAGCTTTTGTCATCGTCGTTTCCCCTACAGGTCTCCTACGTCATTTTCTCCGTAAGCCTCCTTCCCTTAAACTGTGATTCCTTCCTGTACAAATGGAAAATTGGAGAGTTAACATCTGAAAAATCTGGGTAACCCTCGATTTTTCACTTTGAACAGGGTTTTACTTTTCCAGTTCCTATAGAATTTATCTGCGTCCCACTTGGGTAGTGGATGGGGAAATTAACGATAACTTTTAACGAGAAATCACGGAGCAGCCATGGGCCCACTTCTGGCCGCTACAGCATTTCTACTATAAATCTTCATGGCCATCTAGACAAATATGATTAGCAGTGATAATCGTTGATAGATAATGATACTTGTTGTTAATCGGTGATAATACATAATAGTCGGTGATAATCCGTAATATCGGACAGATACATCGTGTATTCGTTCCGTCCTTTGTCTTCAACCTTTTCTTTTTCCTGTCCTTCATTGTTCACCCTCGATATACGTTCTTCAAGGGCGTACCTTTGATTTATCTCTTCAACATGATTTTCGTCGGAACATTCCATCACAGCTAGCGAGCGATACACATTCGCGTGCTGACTTTGTCCAAAACATCCATCATTCCTTGAGTCGAATGACATTTTAACTTTACAGTACTTTTGTACTTTTCCTAATCCTTTATAACCACGTCTCCTACAACTAGAACTCGTTTTACGATCGAAGTAGTCAATTTTCTTTCTAATACTTCATTTTCAAGTAATTTTTCTTGGTTTCATAGAAGATTTATTTGTTTTCGTTTGAAAATTCCAAGAAAGGGCAATACTTTTCGTCCATAACAACTTTATGAGTGCATCTCAATATAGAATTACACCCAGTACTCCTTATTTTGTATTTCATAGATCTGTTTTAAACTTACCCAAGAGTAATATTTAAAGTAACTGATGTGCGGTAATAGGGAATCCATGCATGATGAAGCGATGAGCGTAGAGTGGATTAGATGGTTTAAAANTTCCCCCCCCCCCCCCCCATTGGGTCATTTTGAACAGTGTGCAGTATTGCGATCAGACATGATTAGACCTGTTAAGACTGAAAATTCGATATCAGAACCGGATTTAACAAGATTTCAGTGCTGTTGAAGTGGTATTAACAGGCGAGAAATTGTAAAATCACTGGGTTTCTCGGAGGGTTCTCGTCCGAAGTACTCGTCCAGTAGAAACAGGGTCTCATTAGATCTGCCACAGATCAATCAATCCATTTGTTTGCAGCATCAGTTGCACTTTAGTCACCCCTTATACCCGTTACATTGATGAATCCCTCCACTTCGTCAGGTAGCAGATCAATCGGAAGATTGGAACATGAAATTCGGGTTTAATTGATTTAATATGAAAGGAATATTGATTACTACCACTTATTTCGTTAATCACCTAAAATTATCATAGACACTGTTTACAATTTGTCTAAAGTGAACCACACGAATAGACTGTAAGATTTGTTTCCTATGGATTTTGGTATGAAGTCGCTGTGGTTGGGCTAGCAAGAATTCTTCCTTGGTGTTCGTAATNAACTTCACTAGACGCTTGCGCTTTGACTCTTTTGGAGCCCAAAAGGATCAGAGTAATCTGTGACTGTTCGACCAAACGTCTCTGCGACCCTAATGAAGTTTGGGGCCTATCATAGTGCAGTAACCCAAAAAAGGCTCACCTTTCACTTCAACTTACCGAAACCTTTGAGACAACCCAGCACTCGACGGTTGGGCCACTGATTTTTGTAAGGGTTTAGCCCGCTAGCGAGGGTTTCATAATGAAAACTAGGAGCTGAGAGCATGGCACATCCTATTGCAGAGTAAACAGCCACATCCTACTCTTCTCCTTGTCATACCAATGATTTTCTTCGCACATTTGTATCCCGGACTTTATCTGAGCTCCTCCTTTAGTAACAAATCAGTCAATCGATTACTTTGCTGGGTAATTATCACCTCCTGAGAGAGAGGGAAGATTTTTGGTGCTTTGCGATTCTTCCTCTTCAAAGGAAATGACAGTTTCTCGCCCATAACGACTGAATCATTTCCCTTTCCTAACAATAACACTTCGATTTGATTGTCCAAAAGCCGGAGGTTATCAATCGTATCAAGTTTGCTAATTGCTCAGTTTTTACTGTATGTTTGTTGTGCTTACCGATCGAACAGGTTGTGATCGGCGGAAGGAACGACGACCAGGAGACGACGGGAAAGACGACGAGAGCGATGCATTGGAGCGGTTCAGGGGTGATGACTCAGCTCAGAGTCAGTCAGTCGGTAGAGGCGTCAGTTGGTTGTGCCCGTCAGCATTCTTCAAAGGCTTTTTCAGACAGACTTTCTTCTTCAGCCTCATGTGTCTGCTGACTGTTTCAACAAATAATCTCATGATTTCTCATTGACTCATTCATTTATCTGACTCAATCTGACTGTGTAATACACAATGTTCAGTTGGCTTTCGCCAGATCAACACCTTCAAGCAGTATTGGCCCTTTTATTTGAGATTTCTAGAGCTACAGTGATTTTCAGACTATTTTCTAGCCAGGGAGAACCCGTCTCTTGTCTGGCTGGTTCTACGGTCCCGTCCTACTTGAGATAATAACATCTACTTGGTTATGGATTCATTTCATGCAAAATTGGTTCCGTTACCTGATCTGGTCCTTCTTGACATTGACCCACATGAATAACCGTCATTCTGGTTTATCGTCAGTTCCGATTTCACCTTGATCGACTGTTGAAGACTCTTTCTATTATGAGGATTTGTTGGTTTTTCACTTTTATAGAAGGGAATGTAAAGCACATGTGCCGTAGTTCGGCACCTTTCCCAAGAAGCGCCACAACTTTCCACTGTCGCTCCTAATTGAAGCAGTACCAAGACTCGTGCTAATGCTCCGAATGGAATTTTCGAGTGAAAGTCAATGCATGGTCCGTTGTTCCTGTCCTTCCTCACCTCGCCTAGTACTAGCTCACTAAACTGGGAGAGACGAAAACTTGGTTTTCTTCCCCTGGGTAATGAAGGTGGTAAACTGCTCACATTTTGTCCGATTTCCGATCATTTATGAGTTAGAAACGCGAGAACGTGTCATCCTACTCAGTTTTTCTTCCTCTTTCTGCGAATCGACGCTCACCCAAACTCGGCATAATCAGCGCTCCGGCAAGGCGATAAGTTTTATACTCTACTTTGCCCTTACTCTAACAGTTCCGAGTCATGGACAAAAGTTCTGCTGCGGAACTCGAACCTACCTGAACTCTGTGGGAATCCAGCTAATCCATAGCGCTGCACCGAGACTTGAATAACGAGCAAAGCCTTGTATAACTCCATTTGCCAAGAAACCTATTCCGTGGTTAGGTGTGAATATGGTTTTGGCTGTCCTAGCCATCACAAAACATAAGATAAAGAAAGTAGATGGCTTATTCCAATTTGTCTGGTCGAAACATTACCCATCATTTACGCCTTTCACTCATATAGCTACTTTTATACAAAGCATGTGTGTGTGTGGAAAATATAGGCGAAGGAACAATTTCTCGTTCTCTTTCTTTTTCAAGGTATATTTGCCAAATTCGGTCAAACTCACTGTTCCCATTAATTTTCGCTCTTGTTGGACGTCCCTCTTTGGCGAACAGTGGGCTTTTTCAATTGATTGAGAAGAATATGCAAATTTGTACAGAATAATACAAGGTGATGTTCATAGTTCCTTCCAAAGTTCACTGATAGCCCTCCCCAGTGGAGCTCGTAGTACTCAAAAATCATACACCAAAGAGCAGTACCAGCTGGAATAGACTAGATAGGAAGCCCGGCTCGCTCGAACGGTGGGAGAGCTGGCTGAGTGGATGGAGCTAGAAACCGAACTCATAGGCTTTGCTGCTCGCTTTATTCAATTCGAATAAGTGAGATGATCAGATTTTTGGAAAGGATAAGTGTTTTTGAAAATATTGGGCACCCAGGGATATAGGAGTTTATTGAACGTACTAAAACAGGGTCATTACCATTCAACTTCCGCTTATACGATATGCAACACACCCCTGGGTGTTTGAATGAATGAATAAATAGCTGGCAATGGGGATGATTCTCCATGGTTTGTTTTCTCTGAAGGCGAAAAATGGTTTTGTCGCCTCGCAGGAACTCAAGGTCGAGTGAAAAACACACTTCTTATCCTTCTGACTCACCCATTCCTACTCACCAGGTTCTGCAGTTTTTCTCCCAGAAGGGTAGCAAATACCAGTTTCGACCGTTGACGTTATTCCTACCTATCTCTGACAATCGAAGTTTCCGTAACTCTCACATTCCATTGGCCCGCCCAGCGGAAAGCTAATCGCCCAAGGAACGTGCGGAAATCCTGGGGATGGTCTCACCCAGATTTCATCACGGGAACAAGACTTCGTGACTCCGCCGTTTCGAAGAATGGTAGATTTACTGAACTGACTTATCAAAAGTTATTATTTCACCATTCTCATCGCTTTTCTTCTCAAGCCTCGCAAGTTTCTGGTCTCAAACTGTCGCGTACCCTAACTTCATCACATTTCTTTAATAATTTTTTTTATCGAGGTGTATTTGTGGGCGGAACGACCTTTGTAGGTTATTAGGTTATCGGGCTCACATGGCAAAAGCTGATCCCCTTCGTGGCCTTCGCAGAGCTCTGCAGGAGCTGGGGGCCCCGAAGTTGTCAGCAGTGAACTCACTCGGTCTTAGAAACTTTTTATCTTCTGAGGTTTATTAAAGGTCTTATAGAGTTCTTTTGTAAGCTTATTTTACATTATTTTATTTAGTTTGGCTTCGTTTACTTGTTTTCAGTTTTGTTTTCATTCTGATACCCCTAGCTCCTCCTCTAGCTTCATGTGGAGCGGCCACAGGAAGGTCCATCAGCTTTACCAGCTTTGCCTTTGATGGCATTATAAGTTGTTTACTGCTGATTGATTTTTCAATTTGGAGATTAATTAATTTACGCAACTCGTTGTTCTTTCTAGTAATTACGACAGCAGCTCACAATTTCATTGCTGTCCACTTGTCATAGTGCATCTGGACGTTCCAGTGCAGGTGTCCGCACTTGTTCTTCTGGCAGCTCGTCATTCATTTCCGTTCGTATTCATTCCGTTTGAATTCATGAGCTCCCAGCTTCTTCTAAAAACAATTTAACCTTTCAAGGAGTCGTTGCTTAGTTGAATTTCCCTACGTGGCTTTAATTCAGTTGGTTCAACCTCACTCATCCTCAATTAGCCTTTGTCTAGTTTTTTCTCGGCGAAAATCGAGCACTTTCAACAACCCCACTAAGTCCAAACGATCTTTCTACGACCTTCCACGCCATTTGATAATTTGGGAACCATTTTAATCAGTCGCTCCAAATATTTTCGTAACCTCGTTGTAGTGGACCGGTTAATCAGTTTTTTAAAGTTTTTTCGGTCTTTATGTCACGAAGCTAATATTTCATCTTTAGAGCATTTTTTCCACATTCATATTTGATTGTTTGCAACTTTTAAGAGCTTTGTTGGGTTCTCTCTGTAGATTTCATCGCTTTGCATTTCCCTTGACGAGCCAGTGTGAACTGTAGATAAAAGACAACTTCACAGCCTGCTGACTTTGTGATACAGTAGCCACAGAGAGAGGAAGAGAGATAGGAAGAGAGAAAGAAACAGGGAGGCAGAGATGAATGAGGGTTCGACGACCAGGGGAGTGGGTCTGCCTATGGGTCCCCAAAAATAGGTAATGGCCAAGTTGACATGGTCTACGGATTACTTGAATTCGTTTCCTTCCGCTGGCGTTCCTGTCCCCCTGGCTACAAACGTGTCCCACCCACATTCCGGGATACCTATTCTTTAACCGGGACCGGCAACACAAATCTCTCGAGCAGCTAGACATTCGTGGATGTGTTCTGTCTTGACCAGCTATTCCACTCAAGACGCGCACTGTTAGTTACTGTGCTACAAAACTGTTACGAAATCTTCTGGAAGCATTTCCTAATAGGCTTACGCTTCAGGATCCTTTCTTCTTCTTCAAGATCTTCGTCAGGATATGTCGAAATCAACAATATTAGTCACTATTTAATAATAATCGCCAAAGAAAAAATCATCATTAATTTCTGTGGGGGGATATTTCTAGAATGGTTTGTGATGTAGACAAATCTCAACGATCTGCAAGAGGATCCCGATTTTGTTTTAGCAGATTTTCGAATTATGACTCAGCAGACCCGATTTCGTCAACAAATCGCTTTGTTTACGCCCTTGCACCGTTTGATAGTTAGTTCCACAGTTTTCTCGCGAACGATTTTGCTTTTTCTTTGATTTAATCTCGTATTGAATGGCTGCGTACGGTCTATAGCTCTTGAAATTGCTTGGGATTGTTTTTACATTGTTTCCACTTGAACTATACAAATAACCATTTAAGTACGACCGTAAGAAGTCATTTATCGACCTCTTACCTTGGTCAGCTTCGTAACAACTCTTCTTCCGGGGCTTTCTCGGTACAACTCTGACTTTGAGAGGGATCAAAAGTTTTCTCCGGTAACACCCTTGCTACTACCCCACTCCCTGCCCTCCACAATTCCATAGGCCACATAGGTCTCAAATTCGTCCCGTTGACTTTTAAATTGATTGGTTCGAGGGCTTCCCTACTTCTTTTCACCGTAACCCCTTCCTTCATCCAGTATTCAGGCAAGAAATCCGTCCAAACGTCTTTGCGACCCTGTAGGGAGAGCGAAAGCGTGGCGTATCCTTAGAAAAGGATTGCTTGTGTGCGTGCGGCCTTTTTATCTTTAATCAATGTCTCCCATCCAGTTCTTTTTATTTCATTTATGAAGGTACTTCCTCTTCCAAGGCGTTCGTATATTTGTCGCATTGCTTTGTTCATGGCTCCTTAGCGTACGATCACTTTTGAACAAATTTTCTGTACTCGTATTTTTTAATTGCGACGTCATTTAATGATATTTTCGGTAATCACCGATAAACTGCTTCTATTTCAGTTTTATAAGTGGGCATGATCATTGCGGTGGCCCTTGTGGCCTTAATTCCGCTCTTACCATATGCGGTCACGCAAGAATCCACCACTGAATTGTTCAAGGAGGAAGTTGTACCAACTAATGAAATGGTAGCAGTTAATCTTCCTACACTTCCTCCTACGACAACGGAAGAACCAAGAAAATAGTATGTTCTGCCCAATTTGTTGTTTTTGATTATAATTCGTAGAGAGAATGGGCGAAATAGAGCAAGGGAGGGAGCCGCCGGTGCCACATGTTCGATCGGAAGATCAGACTCCAGCCGAGGCTCCATACTGCCCGGTTCTTCACGATCAGCTGCGAAGGGCCTAGTCATTGCAAAGCTCACGAGCGCATTCAAACGCCTCTACGATCCTGTGGGGAATCGCGTGCATGGCGTACCCCATAAATACTGATCGAAACGCATCACTTCATCCATTTTGACATTTTTTCAATTATTTATGTCGATAAATACGTTCAAATTTCATCATTCCAGTCCGGGTACATATTTGGTGGTCGCACCGGCAGTTGTACGGCCAGGTCTACCGTATGCTGTCTCGTTCAATATTCTAAAAAGTCCTGAAGAAGATCATATTGTACGAGTTCAAATACGAACGGATCAAAATGATACCGTAGCCACGAGGGTTGTGAAAAATGTTCGGCAAGGTGAGCAGTAATCGTTAAAGAGGAGAGTTCCTTTGTTGTTGCCAGACAGATCCTACCATTACCTAGTGATTGGAGGCCAAGTGGGCCAGTTCCCACAGAGCCTTCATCAACTCTAAAATTGTTGAGTGTTGAATTTTATTAACTCTTAAGGAATTTTTCAGGGGTACCACAAACCGTCACTATTGATACAATAGCTGCCGATTTATCACCGAATATGAACTATAAGGTGAGTCGATGGAGGTTTCCAAACGGTCTCCACAGGTGATGCCACTGGGCTATCCTAGATTCGGCTAATCGACGATTTTTCAAGTTTTCAAAAGTCTTAAATCAACATTTATTCATCTTAATTTTTTCAGGTGTATGTACGGGGCGAAACCTTAAATTCCAATGTTTTATTTGAAGAAGAAAAGTCCGTACAGTATAACCAGAAGAGTCTATCAATATTTGTACAAACTGATAAAGCTATTTATAAGCCAGGATCAGTAGGTAAGCTTTCAAACTTTTTGGCATTTTTCATGTTCAAAATAACACAGAAATTGATCA